ATACACTTGATATGAAAGTGCTAATGAAATGTGAATCCAAGCTGTGTACCTAAATGGTAATGAAAAACTAAAATATTAATTGTTACATTGGTAGTTTTACTCGCATAAGGTTTATTATAATATTTATATTTTGTAGTACTGAAGAGGGTTCTTTAATAGGACCGAAATGCATATACAGTGATTAAATAAAGAGAAGTAATTAGCTATCTGCTGTGTGATGGTCTACCGCTAAACCGAAAATTTATATATTTTTCGTGCGGATTTACAGAGACTTTATAATATTTATATATAAACAGCAGTCATTAGAAATTTAATTAAAATAAAATTTTTAATTTATTAAAAATATTTAAAAATATATAGCGAAATTGTAGTCACCCTACTTTAAACCGTTGTCCTCCCGAGACGTGTATGAGAATGTCCCGGGAAATCCGACTCCAGCTGTGTTCAAGGTCATCCAGCTGTGTAAACAATGACTCATCAGTGTTAAATTTCACAGAAAGGGGAGACAAAGGAAAATAAAATTTGAAGCTTTTTCTTCAAAATTAACGCATTTCTTTCGTTTTTTTCCAGTTTTAAGTATTTTTTATGCTTAATTACATTATAATTAAAAACAGGCGGGCGTTAAGACGTTAATTAATGAGAATCACGCAATAGAGAGCTAACAAAGTTAAAATATTCGGGTGCAAAAGTGCCAAAGAATAGTGCAAAGAAGTAAAGCAAAAATTACGTTATTTGTGTATCTTCAGTAAAACTTTTCGTTAAAATATCAAAGTATGATGCAGTAGTTATTACGGGTCATTTATTTTTGTAATAAACTTAAAATCCTCCATGCTTGAATCACAATCATTTATGAAAAAGAAGTGAATTATTTTGAATAAAAAGTTTGCAGAAATTAAAAGGATAGGCTGCTTAATAAATTACGTCGAATGTCTGAAAGAAATTCATATAAAAGATTAAAATAAACTTGTATTCAAACTTAATTCAGTTTATTTTATTGAAAAGTAATATAGTTACATTTCTTTTTGAATTTTTGGGATGTTTTTTAAGTCTCCAAATTTTTAAAAAATATTTTAAAATATACGGTCAGCTAGTGTTCACCCTACTTTAAACTCTTGTCCTCCCGCGACGTCTATGAGAATGCTCCTGGAAATCCAACTCCAGCTATGTTCAAGGTCACCCAGATGTGTAAACAATGACTCATTGGTGTTAAATTTCACAGAAGGGCGAGACAAAGGAAAATAAAATTTGAAGCTTTTTCTTCAAAATGAACGCATTACTTTCGTTTTCTTTAGTTTTAAGTATTTTTTATGTTTAATTACATTTATATAAAAAATTGCTAGGAACTAAAGCGATTAAGGTAGATCTAGCTGTCCTTTACATCCATAAACGTTATATGTCAGTGGAACAAATGGAGTGAGCTTTGAGCGTTCCACGATTTTTGGAGACTGTCTATACGCGGGCTGCCTAAACAAGCCTATATGTATGTTTGTCCAAGAAATTTTTGGATGAAATACAAACCGCACAACTTCAAAATCGCATAAAAATAATCCGCATAAAAGGAGACCTTACAGTATCCGTAACTGTGCTTAATGTGCCTTAATTTTACCCATTAGTAGCATGTGTTATTTGCACTCAGATTTACTAGTATGACTAATGATACCCGCTGGTAACAGTACAAGTGAAAAATCTTTAGGTAGTAAATTAATCAAAGTAGAACATGAATTCTTCACTTTCTTAGTGATACTCGACTTTGTATATAAATAATATTACATTTATTGTTGAGACGTATTAAGAGATATACGTATTTTTATAGCCTTTCGACTGTAAAATATACTTGCACCAAAAAGTTGTAGGCTAATAATGCGAATCACTTGTGTACTATACATGAACATTGTCTACATATTTAATATATTCAGTATTTAATGAATATTTTCGTATAACGAATTTTTCCAATAATACTGATGCCGAAAACATTGTCATCGTAAATGTCTCCAATGAATACTTATGTAGAAGATTTTCTACAAGAATTAAATTAACATTTTGTTACAGTTGGAATTTCACATATAATATAAAACACAAATAATAGAGTCTATTTGTATCAGGAAGATTATTGATGACATAACTATCACTTGAACGATTGACAGGTTCGTCATTATTAATTATAATGAGAAACTGATCTATCGCTGTTGTGAGAATCCGAATTCGGACTTTCCGTGTGTTTATACCACTTTATCATTTCACATTGTAGCTATACTTTCGTTTAATAACTGTCAACTTTTACACCTGGGAGCTAAACATCTGCTAAGTTCTCAGGCTTAATAACGACTCTTTCTCAGAACCTTTCGACCTAATATCACCGTTTCAACAATCCAACATGAAAAACAGACAACAAAGTGAAGCAGTCGTCACCAGTTCCTCAATCGGACCACTCAAGTTTTCCCTGTGCTAAAATATTTGGATACCTCCTCGCCTAATAACTAGTTAACTAAGAACTGTGGAAATAAGAACTGTCTTCTTTTGTGTCCGACTGACTTGCAGAAAATCAAGATTTTATACAAGGTAATTATCGCCACGCGCAACTTATGTAAACTCTCTCTCTCCAGAACCGCGGAACTGTAACAGAAATCTTAAATCTAATTTAATGTCTAGACTATATCTATTGTAGCAAAGACTCCTAAAAACTAGCCTAGTTAAAATCGATATCTTTTATATCCTGTATGGGCTATAGTTATCAGTTAAACCGTTGTTACGCTAAAGCGTCTCTGAGTAATTCACTTCCGGTGCGCTATCTCTCCTTCTATCTCGACTCTGATCGCTCCGTTATGCGACCGCTCGCGTAACCTAAATAACGCGGCTTCCGTGTTCGCCGAGACGCGGTGGTGTCATCCTGACAGGGCACCAAAGAGGTGCCGACCCTTCGGTCACACTATAATTAATATAATAATTGATTAATGGGGTTACAGCTTTTGGTAAAACTAACATTCTACTATGAGCGAATTTTTAAATAAACAATTTACAAAAATAATACAAAAATAAACGCTCAATCACTTATAACTTAACGACAATATGTTAATATTTTATTGTTACTTTGAAAGCAAAGGCCGAACGTAAAATCTACAGTATTAAAAGCTATATAGTTATCGAAAGTTAGAAAGGGTTATAATTAGAAATAAAAACAAGACAAGATACCTGTTGTTTATGTAGAGTAAAGGTATAGCCACAAGAATTTGCTGATACAAGGCACTTATAAACCATAGATGTTCAAGTTTCTGTAAATGAAATCACATTTATTTAATAAATTACGTATATTAAAATAGGTTATAATTTATTAAATTTTAATTTTTACATTGGCGTTTACGGCATTGTATTCTATGAAATTACTGTAATGAAAAACATATTTGCGCCAGTTCTCTACAATTTCATGTACATCGTTTAACAGGTCATTCCAATGAGGACCATCACCTAGAAGAGGCAAGATAATCGTTGCTGCTACAAAACAAACTACTGGCACTGTTAATCTGCAACAGAAAATTGTACATTGAGGTAATTTATTCAATCATAACTAAGTTTATAAAGTTTTAGTTTTAATTATCATTATAAGAAGACACCATTTCGCCTACTAGTGGCTAAATGGATAACAATAACTGAATGGTAGTACAGTAGAGTGTCATTTATCCGAATCAATTGGGGACTGGGGTGGTTCGGATAACTTATTTTTCGGATAACGAATCATATACGAAAAAATATATTAATTTATCCCATGTTGAAATTTCCTTCCGTTGCGTGTCGCTTCGCGTTGAATTTTCGTCGATGTTAAGCCTAACGAAGACTATTGTATCGTTAAAAATTATTTTTTTATTTTGTACAAACAAAATAAATTTACTGAAAAATATAAAAATAATAAAAAATTATACTTCAGATGTTAATTTAGTATCAAAAACGTAAAATATTTGAGTAGCC